GTTTATTTTTGAGAGAGAGAATGTGGGCACAAATGCACGTGGGTGGAGGGAGGGGCAGAGAGACAGGGAGAGAGAGGATCCCAAGCAGGCTCCGTGCTGGGAGCGCAGAGCCCAGTTTGGGGCTCGAATCCACGAACCACGAGTGAGATCATGACCTGAGCCAAAGTCAAACGCCGAACCGACTGAGCCACCCAGGCGCCCCTGTTCGCCATGTTCCTGATTCTTCGGGACAAGGGGCCTCCTGGTGTCATCCTGAAATGGCATCACCTCTTTAGGGGATGTTGCTTCAAGATTGAAAAACATACTTTTTCTACTGTTTACTAGAAATGTGTAGTAAAACCTAAACTGAAGCTTACTAAATGGTTTCATCCAAAGCAATTACACCAATAATTCACAAGTAAGTTTTTCCTAAAAGCTGGTGCTGCCTGACTTTCCATAGAAAGTGCTATTTAAATGTATTTAAAGACGAGTTCTTGGGGCGCCTGGGTGGCTCAGTCGGTGGAGCCCCCGACTTGAGCTTGATGATCTCGCAGCTTGTGGGTTCGAGCCCCGCGCCGGGCTCCGTGCTGACAGCTCGGAGCCTGGAGCCTGCTTCGGATTCTGTGTCTCCCTCTCTCTCTCTGCCCTCCCCTGTTTGCACTCTCTCTCTCTCTCAGAAATAAACATTAAAAAATTTTTTTTTTTAAGTAAAGATCAGTTCTTGTCAGTAACATCATCAACACATACGATACCAATCAGGTTTGCACATGAGTGATAGATGTCAGTTAGGAGAACCTTCTGGTCTCAGTGGGGAGTGATTTGGGGGGAAATTGGGCAGGTTTCTGCCTCACGCTATTTCAACTCATCACAGCATGCTTTATTTATTTGAAATGACCACCCGTGATGGCAGATACATTCATATTCTAACTTAAGTATAAAAGGCACATTCCACAGTTATATATAATAAGCAACATGGGTATTTTTAGATGGTCCTATCAACTGTGTTTATCAAGTGTGTTAGCATACATAATTTCTCTTTAATAAACATTGGTTTCTTAATATGAGCACCTGTTTTGAATTCAAATGGTTCCTAATTCTGTTAGTGAGGCCCTGCCTCCTTAAAATCCAAGTGATGATTTTATAAAAATGAAATGAAATATTTGTGCCAGTTATATCCTCATTTATGAGAGTATGTTTCACATAAAACCAGTCCCGGATGGGTTTCGGGGGCGTGTATCCCATTTCAGAAGGCCCTGTGCCTGGAAGGGCCCCACGCTGGGATGTAATGTTCTGTTGCTGTCTTGAAATTCTTCATTTTTTAACAAGGGGCCCCACGTTTTCATTTTGCCCTGAAGCCTGCAAATTCTGCAGCTGGTCCTGCGAGATGCACCATCAAAAAAGAAACCCATGTTCTGTGGTCACATACTTTGGGAGCTACTGCCTGTCCCTGCTCTCGAAGCTTCACTGCACACACCTGTTGCGATAGAGACTCTGGAAGGTCCTAACTTCCTTT